GCGGTGCCATTGACTTTAGAGGCACCGCCACGCCCCCTACCGCCCCGGAAAGCTAGATTCTTTCTTTATGCGATCCAGTGTGTTCCAGCCACTAACTGAGCTGCAACGCACTGGATTAGGTGTGAACAAGCCCTAAAAGTAACTGTTTTAGGAGGCATTCAATTGGTGGGTACAGTTCCTCTTTAATTTAGCAACTCTAGATTATGAAAAATAAAACTCCTGCAAGCATATTATATAAAATGTTTAAAATTGGCACCTTCTGAGTCACATAGAGAAGCTTCTCAGCCTTGCCATTTATATCATGAGCACATAAACACTTGGCTACTGAAGTGGTAAATGAAAGCTGTTTTGGAATGAAGAATAAATAAATCTGTTTCACCATGGGATTATAAGGACTTCTAGCTAAATGTTTCCTAAACTGAAAAAAGGAGCCAACCTAACACATTTTCTACTTCTGTAAATAGCCAGAGCGGTAAAATGCAAACTGGATTATATAAAAGGAGCTATTAATAACATTTGCTGATACCTGTGGAAAAGATTGCGGGGTGAGCTATACACAGGTACTCAGCTGACTTCCTGCCCCGTGGACCAATTGAAATGGTGCGCAGTCATCCTCTTCTCTGACTAGAATGGCTGAGAGTGTAGAACAGGCCCGTTATATCAATACAGCTCAAGAAAGCGAATGCCGAAGTACGGGAAAATCCCCATGCATACATATATAATAAAAATAACTTTTGTTGTTGGTGCTTTATTCCTTTAAAGTGGACCTTTACCTCCTTTTACTAAAAATCACATCAGCATACAGCTCTGCATGCTGATATGAAATCATCTGACATTCATTAGTTAAACATATTTTTATTTTACTTACAGTTACTGTTTTTCCACTTCCTGGTCCTCTTGGGCATTAGCGATGTAATCGTGCCCAAGCGTTGCATCCTGGGAAGGCTACATCAGCAGAGCATTGCTGAGAAATCTCATCTGTAATCTGACCAGGTCTCAGGGAAAGGTGTTTTTTCCCTCTGAGATGATGTGCATGGTCACATGTCCTATGACATGTGCCAGAGTTGCAGGAAGTAAAAGGAGAGCTAGTAACCTGCCCTTAGTAAACATGGCCACTGTCAGAAGACTGGGAAAGAAAAGAAAAATAAGAAAAGTTAAGAAATGTCTCAGTTGAATTGGCTGACAATGTCATGTGTCTATGTGCAACACCTTTACCTGCGCTGTGCACAGGTCTGTGAAGCCCGGGCCCAATAGTTTAATTTGAAAAAAACATACGGAAGGGGACCTTTCATGCTAAACAGAACCTTTTTTTTTTTGCCAGACCCCTGTCCCCTCCAACACAAATAGCTTCAAAAAGTAGGGATGTCCTGATACTGATACTAGTATCGGTATCGATACAGGGCATTTTCACAAGTACTTGATACATAGCGCCGATACTTTCACTATAATTTTTTTTTTTTGGTGGCTTCAGGCTGCCCAGAAGTACCGCACATGTTGGGGTCCTCTGGGGAGCCAAATGACAACCTTACAGAAGCTCCTCCCACAAGCCCGCAGTCAAAGTCACACACTTCCAGTATACTGCTGTAATAGAGTTACAATTATCCCCTGCTATCATGAATGGGTTAAATGATCCATAGTACAAAGTTACAATTCTTCCGCTTCTTCCAATCTGTAGCACTTCCCCCAAATAAACTTGAAGTTTTAATTGGGGGGAAGTTGTATTGCTGATATGGTGCAATGACTGAGATGATTGAATATGGGAAATGTGTGAACATGCTCCACATGTAGTGACCACCGCACATGCTTAGTGCTCTGAGCACATTTGTTTTACTTTACATTGGAATGGACCTATCACCACCCCATGCCTATAAGGACCACACCAGCCCCACTGGAAAGTCTTCTAAATTAAAGTTCTTCATAATCATAAAGAAATTGCCCTAAAATCATTAGTCTGTATTGTTTTATACAAAATGTCACCTGTCCCTTTAAGAAAACGTATCGTTAATTGGTATTGACAAGTACATGAGGGGAAGTACTTGGTCTTGAAAAAGTGGTATCGGGACATCCCTGTCAAAAAGCCATTTGTAAACAAAAACCCCCAAAAAACAGTATCAGTGCCCTGGCCTTCGCCTCCAGAAATTCCTTAAGGCACAGGTGATGTCAGTGTGCCTTATGGCAGAGCTCTGAGCTAGAAATCCTATACGAATGCACTGACATACCGTAGAATGCATTCTCTTTCCCAAAAGAGTTTTCGGGCTCCTCTGTTGGAAGGCACAGTGATATCACTTCAGCCTCTTGGTAAGCATTTTTTTTTTTTGATTGGGTAAACTGTTTGTTTACAAATAGCTTTAGGTTGCTGGACAGGAGGCAAAAAAGCTGCACAGCGCTGTGCTGTATCTATAAAGCAGCAGCATTGTCATCTCGAAGTCAAAGGACCACAGAACACCCCCGCATTATCTTCAAAACACAGAGTAGGGTTTTCTGTAGTCTGCAAAGGTGAACTGGGCAGAGCTGATAACACTGCAGGGAGCATAGCAATGTATAGCTCACTAGAGTTCTAGCAGGATCAACAGGGATTTATGGTAGAGATATAACAAAATGCTTTCAAAGGTATATGTAACAACCCTATTGAGACTACAATCTCAATACAACATGAGATTGTAGTCCATCACGGGAGCGAGCTTGGAGTGGTGACTACTTTACAACACACACAGGGACCATGGGGAACAGAAGTAGCCCCTCTCCAGAAGGAAGGACAGTGTCAGCACCAATTCAGAGATGATTGGAGGATCTACAGCCGAGTGATACACAAATAAGATACATTGTTGTTTATAGTTCAGGTATAGTTCAGGTACATGAATGTATTAACTCCTGAGTTTAGTGTCACGCTAACTGGGATCTTGTGTTCCTAACAGTCATATAAATGTGGAAGAATTCAAAAGGTTAGAACCAACGTGTGACCACTTCTCCTCCTCAGGCCCCGGCTGCATATAAAATGCCAATTTCTGTAATGTGGGAAGATGTATGAAAAGTATATACTTCAACAAGAACAAAATGTTCCTATATATCCAAGACTGGAATGTATAAAAATACCTAAGACGCTGCTAAATTTGACTTCTACATATTTACAGTACATAAAGCAGTTACTGGAGACCTAAAAATAGCATTTTGACTAAGCTATGGAATTTACTGCTGTTATAAATGAGGTCTAGATCCCTTTCAAACACAGAACATATTATAAGACCGAGCCGTAGTTATCACATTTACCACGCATAGCTACATGGCACATTCTTGAGGCCTCTTAAAACCTCCAAAAGGAGATATTTGTATTCTACTTGCACTTTATTTCTGCCTATTTAAAGGTTCAGCAGTTCAGATAAAATATGACCTGTCTTGTAAAAGGAAAAGAATTATAATTTATTCTTAACCTGGTTTACATCGGCGGCTGAATGTTTTTGTACTCCATACATCTAAGAGATTAATCCACAGAGGTAAAACGTACAGCCAAAGTTTTTTGGATAAAAAATTGCTGGGGCTGATGATGGAAAGAAAACTGGATCAGAAGTGAAGCCAAGTAGTTGTTACTTCTAAAAATAAGATTTTTATGTAGTTACAGTAAAATTTATTTCTAGAAGTGAGGGACACAGGACGCACCTTCCCCTTGGCTGACCCTTCTTCATCTAGCCTCCATTCAGGTTCTTTCTGGTACAACGTCCACATTTGTTGGATATCTTAGTAGTCATTGCCCATCACTCCAGTTGGACTTTTTTGGACGTCTCAATTAACATATCTAACATTCCGATAATGAACGATAAAGAAAAATTGGCCCGACCTCCTGCACATGGCAGTATAACTCGAATGTTCAAAAATGTCTACATTCCTGTGCCTGTCAATGGATGAAAACAAAGAATGACAGCTGTCTTTTTTCATTGTTGCCTCTACAAGCACATGTCTGCCGCCTCCTAGATTAGAGGGACTGGCTCTTGAATTGTGAATAAATCACCCAATTAGTGTGATATATAAAAAGTAGCCCCCCTCCAAAAGGAAGGACAGTGTCAGCACCAATTCAGAGATGAGTGGGGGATCTACAGCCGAGTGATACACAAATAAGATACATTTTTGCTAACAGTTAAGGTACTTGAATGTATTTTTAAGATTTAACACCTGCGTTTAGTGTCACTTTAACTATTAACAATACTGGACCTTATATGTGTATCATTCGGCTGGAGATCCTCAAATCATCTCTGAATTGGTGCTGTCACTGCCCTTCCTTCTGGAGGGGGGCTTTTTTTGTTCCCCATGGTCCCTGTGTGTGTTTGTAAAGTAGTTACCGCTCCAAGCTCACTCCCAGGATGGACTTCGTTGACTCGAGTATAAGCCGAGGGGGGCACTTTTCACCCAAAAAAATGGGCTGAAAATCTCGGCTTATACTCGAGTATATACGGTAGTTTACGAATTTGTACTGAGATTGTAGTCCATCACAGGAGTGAGCTTGGAGCGGTGACTACTTTACAACACACACAGGGGCCATGGGGAACAAAAGTAGCCACCCTCCAGAAGGAAAGACAGTGTCAGCACCAATTCAGAGATGATTTGAGGATCTACAGCCAGTCACACCCACACCTGACCCTTTTTTTGGGAACGCGACATACAACAACTGCAAACATTTTGAATCAGTGACCAATCTTTTCAGAGATGCCTTGATGTGGCGGTGCGTCATTAGTGTATGCAACAAAAAAGTCTGTTTTTAAACAGTTTAGTTTTTGCTGAATAGCTTGAGAGCGTGCCAGGGAGTTCTTGTATTGTTTTGTATATAGCGCTGGCCATGTGCACCTTTCTCCTTTTCTGCTATTTTCATCATAGCTGTTTCTTATCTTTTTTTTGTTAATCTAATGATGGACGAAAATGAATAATCTGGGACTTTCATCAACTATTTGCCTTCCTTTTTAATGCATGTTTATCAATGGTCCATCTAAAAAATCAAAAGAAATGTTCATGTGTCAATTAGAATTATCACTACTATCGAAAAACACAGAAATCAAGTCTTGCTGCTGCTTTTGTAGGATGGAAGTTGTAGAAGTGATGTTGAGTGAGGGACTTGAGGGTGAAGACCAGAGCATGTTGTTTTCACAATCTGTACTATAATACAAAGGGTTGTAATCCCATATGGGCAGGTCGCTGTTTTCTGGATAGTCTTCTGCTTTTGGAATGTTGTCCCTATCACAGTCGCTAGCCTCTTTCTTCGCATGCTGCTTTATTGTTTGTTGTCTACTAAGCAACGTACATTTCAGGCTATTTTTTTTCTGAGCTTTCCTCACCAGCCCGGGAATGACAGGTAAGGAAGGCTCACATCTCTCGGAATAAAGCGTAAAATAATTTTCCGTCTGTCTGACAGAGTTACCCCATTTGTGAGTGACGGGTTCATTTTTAGATTCCTCCTGTGCATTACTAGCTACTGCTCTGGAAATAACTTGTGTAGTATTTTTAATAGAAAAGCCTCTTCTATTCTTGGAATGTTTCTTATGCTTATTTGCTTTTGGTTTTCTTAGAGTCTGGGACTTTTCCTTAGGCCTGCTTGTAAATAATCTGTTTTCTTTCCCATTGTGTGGCTGTGTTTGCTGAAGGAGATGATTCTGGGCCGCAGGGACACAGTGATCGTTGTGATAAAATTGCTGCAGACGGCGTACAGCTCTATCATCCGTAGTGACGCCTTTACTGAAATGTACTCTTCGGCCACCAGTGTTTGATCCTGGATAGTCCCCTGGAGATTCCAAGGTAATGCAACAGTTCCCAGTGCTTTCGGCAGATTGTGCAGAACGTGTTGTTACACCCTTGAATCCAGTTAGAGAAGAAGAACATCCATCACTAATTCTATCCCAAGTGTTCTGAACACTGCTTTGTGAAAGAGCAGAGCAATCTACAAAAGTCCTTGTTTTGTACTGTGATGTGCTATGTTCCTCTGCAGGCAGGTCTTGAACACTTGCGGGAGATGTCTGCGTAGTATTTTCTTTCAAGTGACACGCTGGCTTAGAGAGACAATTAAGGTTGTGAATCTCGCTCAGTATTTTATCTTCTGATGACTTTATGGAATTTGACAACCATGTTAATTTTTCTGACAGCTCCAGGTGCTTTTCACACTGCTGTGACTTCATAGCGTCCATGCCCTTCACTAGCAGCTGTACGTTTGATTTCAGATCTGTCAGCTCGGCATCTTTCTGTGGAAGAACAGACTGGTTATGCTAAATAGCAACACAAACATAGAAGCGATCGTGTTTGGCCTAAAGATTCCATCAGAAATTAAAATCCAAGGACAAGCTGTCGGTTTATACATGTCATACCCTGAGCAATGGGTATACGAATATCTCAATTTCAGGTCTTTTTTGCTAAGCTAGGTAAAAAAGTGATATTGCAAATTCCTTCACATACTGTGGTGTGGTATTAGTTAAGCTGGCCATACACTGTAATATTTTCTTTGTTCAACCCGAGGGCTGAAGGAAGATAATATAACAGATTCCTCCTTTAATGCTTAAGAACGTTGATCGGGGAATCTCCCGCTGCTATCAGAATACTAAAGCAGAGCCGGCAGCTCATTGGCTGCCGGCTCTGTTCGTTCACAGATTTTCCGACCAGCTCCTTTGATCAGCCGAAAGGGTGCCGACAGCGGCACCCACTGTGCAAATTTTGTCCGGTTCTTCATCAAGACCCAGAAATTTGTGTAGTGTATGGCCAGCTTTAGGTTTTATAATAAATTGTTGCTTTTTGCAGGTAATAATATCCAGGGGTGATGAAGTCTTGTAAAACACAATGCTTCCATACCTGTAAAATAACTAAGAACTCCACTCTACACTGGCCACAGGAGCTAACCCATATGTAATTTCAGAAATAACCATAGTAGAAAAAAAACACCTTAAGGTGGCCAGACATTGTTAGATTTTTGTACACTAACGGTCTTTCGAATGAGAATCGAACAGTGGATGGTACATCACTGATTTTTGTTTTTCATATTGTGATCGAAATTTTTTGTACAGTCAGGTTGGAAAACTTTTTCTCTGACTGAATGAAAATCGATGAATCAGTGGGGTTTTCCTTCATCCAAAATCTCAGCAAGAACACAGCACTTGCACAAAAGGAAATTATTTTATTTCCCTGGTTCATCAAAAATTGGTTGATTAGTATGGATAATGAATGATTTCCAAAGAGGACATTTGACTATGCTTGATGGGGAAGTCTAGATATAATTGAACGAGGGTTCGTGGCAGAAACACAACGTTTTGAATGAAAAACTAACAATGTATGGCCACCTTTATACTTTTTAGGGGCCTCAAGGCAGAGACACCTGTGTGTGGAAGTGATACTGAAAGGCTGTGTACTGATTGGACTCAATTGGATGCCTGTGCCTGAGCACCCAATCGGTAACACCTCCTGTGTACACAAACTTTATTTTTACATTAACTCACCAAAAGTATTTTATTCTCTAAGTCCAACAACATTTGTCTGCAACTGCACTTTGTATTCTGCATTTTCTGCATTGACTCGTGGTAAGAAGCAATATTTTGCTGCACTAAAAAAATTTAAAAAATTCAAGATCATAAAGATATTAAACCTACAGCACATTATTATTTTAAAGAGTCAAAAGCTCAATTGCGTGAATATTTCTAGTTCAGCTAACAACCAAAAATCCGAGCACAGGGTCTCATGTTGGGAATGCTAACAAACAGGTGGGAAGGGGTTAAGGAATAAAATACACATCCTATTTAAAAGGAAATAAATGTATAGTAACTGAAACAAAACCTACACCATTTATTAAAGTGACACTGAACTCAGGAAGTAAATCTTAAAAATACATTCAAATAACCTATTGCCAAAAAATGTATCTTATTTGTGTATCACTCGGCTGTAGATCCTCCAATCATCTCTGAATTGGAGCTGACACTGTCCTTCCTTCTAGTGGGTGACTACTTTTGTTCCCCATGGTCCTTGTGTGTGTTGTAAAGTAGTCACCACTCCAAGCTCACTACTGTGATGTACTACAATCTCATGCTTAGTTTACTATTTTGTACTGAGATTGTAGTCCATCCCGGGAGCGAGTTTGGAGCGGTGACTACTTTACAATACACTCAGGGACCATGGGAGCAAAAGTAGCCCCCCTCCAGAAGGAAGGACCGTGTCAGCACCAATTCAGAGATGATTTACAGTCGAGTGATACATAAATAAGATACATTTTTGGTAATAGTTTTTTTTTTTGTTTTTTTTAAAGATTCAACTCCTGAGTTCAGTGGTACTTTAACCAGAGTTATACAGCTCTCAGTATATAAAATGTTACCCAGTGCATAACACAACCATGTCATCATCGTACTTCTATTTCTACAATCTTTGAACTGACCACAGGTGTTGGGTGCCCTCTGCTGGTTCACAAAGATAAAACATTTTAACTGTAACGGTGCAGCACACTCACAAGCCTTAGAAGTTGCATCCATGGAATCCAAAATTGACTTGCACTTTAAGTTTGTGTTTTCTTCCACATGGCAGAGAGTCATTTTCAACTGGCAAGAGTGTAAAAATAAATATATTTATATTGAAATAGTTGATCAGTATGTAAAAAATTGCACAACTGACTGGTAACTTACCTCCTGTACAGTGACATGAACTTGGCAGATCAGCTGGTTTAATTGCTCACTGCATAAAACAAAGGATATGCTAATTTTATACGCTGAATTTCCAACTTTTTATCACTGCTTTTCACTTACAGTAAGGAACATTTGTGTGCATGTGATTACAGTTTGTTTAATATTTATTAGAATTTTCCAACAGTAAAAAAAAATAGAAAAATGAAAACATATTTCACACATATATACTGTAGAGGACGGCAAGGCTAGGTCCTGGATGGGAGATATATATCAACACTGTTTGGGTTGTGGTCCCTTTAAGGGCCACCACAGGATTAACCTTCCTGCCCCAGGAAGGGGTTTAAAGGTGCCCATACACTTTACAAACCTCGCAAGACTTTTGTCTTGCGAGGGTTGTAAAGTACTTAAAAAAAGTACGATCTGCCCATCTTGTACAGGCAGATCGTACCTGCGATCATCGCAAGCCCTCCCCCCTGAGGGGCGGGCTTCCGATGACTGCAATGCTGAACGCGCAGTGTGCTCTCTCGATCATGTTAAAAACCAGCCGAAAATCGTAAGATTCTCGGCTGGTTTTCCATCATGCTTGATATACAAAAGTGGTGCGACCGTACATTAGAAGCGGTCGCACGCCTTCCATACACTGCACGATTCTCGTACGATCGCGGGATTTCCCGCGATTCTTGTACGAGAATCGTGCAGTGTATGGGCACCTTAAAGGTCTGCAACTCCCAGAGAGGAGTGTGGGAGTTGAGGAGAAAGTAATCAGCTGTGGCTAGTGAGAGAGACCTGCTGTGTTGCTGTATTGCTGTGCTGCAGGACTTATATTCCTGGGAAGGGATTTCCCCGGGTTTGGGACGTTTCTACAAAATGTCGGTGAGACACATTTATGTTTTGTTATCTGTGCTGAAAAATTGGAAATTTTTTACTTTGCTGAAGATAAAGCGTGTATTTGTGTTTAACATATTTGGCTGCCCTGCAAGAGGAAAATAAAAGCTTTTGATTTATTCAAAACCCTCTGTGCGAGTGCTCTGTGAGCTCCCCAACATCACAATGCATATACTTATTCATCTATATACACATATCAAATTACACAATGCCCCTTTACGCCATACAACACAGCTATCTCCATGATCCTACATTCCTCACTATCAATGACAGGGTATACATTCCCTTCCCCTACTCTTATCTATGAATTGGTCTATATTGTTCGTCCAGTGTCATTTCTTATTTTATCACCCAAAAGGAGAAAAGAAGTGGGAGAGGAAGAGAAAAAAAAAACCCCATAAAAACTCCCATCTCAATACCTCCCATTAGTGAAAATATCAACCAATTTCTCATATGTGTACTAATATCTTGTTCATATTAACCTCTGTGTTTCAGCATTCAGGAAGGACACAAAGTCATCTATAAAGAAATTGACATTTTGGATAACCCCTGCGGGTAAAATTACCTCTCATATTTTTCTTTAGCCTTTCTCTTGCTTTCTTCAAATTGCTCAATAATGCTTTTGCTATTTCCTTTTCCAAATGTCTGAAATGGGCCCCTTTCTTTACTATCAGTGCAGCACAAAGGAGGCTTAGAGCGGTATTTCTGATACATGCCTGGTTCACTCTGAATTAAGAAGGAAGAGAGAAAAAAAGAGACAAAATAAACCATAACATAGACATAGGAAACATAAAAGCAGAACTCCAGTCCAAAAAATATACAGTAAACTCCCAGTTATCCGGCACCCTTGGGGATTGTTAGGTGCCAAATAAATGAAATTTCTGTAGTGTCCGGCACTAAATCTTGGATCTGTGTGCTACTTCTTCCTCTCTCACTCTTAGCTCTGCTTGACAAGGGCTGCAAGATAACATGCCAAATCCAGGTACTTACACTGCCCAAATCCAGGTACTTACACTGCCCAAATCCAGGTACTTACACTGCTTGCATGTTAAAAAAGAAAATTAAATTATGTGTTCGCGATTATTGATTGGCTCCTGGTGCTGCTTCTTTCTTTCCCACTCTACTGTGCAGGGTATTGCAGGAGCCTGATACCAAGTTAAATTCAGGCACTTACAATACTTGCAAGAAGTACAAGTACCCCTTCCTCATTAATAAGGGGGGGGCAGCATCTGGGTGCCCCTTTATGAAAGGGGGTGTCCAGATGCAAATAAGCCCCCCTGCCCGCAGACCCCCACAACCAATGGCTTGAGGGGAAGAGGCCCTTGTCCCCATCGGCACGGGGACAAGGTGCTTTTCCAGGGGGGACCCTGGAAAAGCACCCTCCCAGTGCTGAGGGCATTGGGCTGGTATGGCTCGCTCGCCCCTCCCCCTTTCCTGCCCTGCCAGGCCTATGCTCGGATCAAGGGTCTGGTTGGGAATGTTAGGGGGGACCCTACGTTTTTTCCCCCATTTGTAGGTGTGGGGTTCCTCCTTAAAATTCCTACCAGACCTAAAGGGCCTGGTATGACTTTGGGGGGGAAACCCACGCACTTTTTTATTTTACTTTTAACTTGGGGTCCCGCTTAACTTTCCTACTAGAACAAAAGGATATGGTTTGGGATGGGGACCCCACACTTTTTTTATTTAAAAAAAATTTTTTTTAATTATTTTGTATCATTTTTTTTTTTTTTTAACATTCTTTTATTCTGCTTGCTACCTCGGAGGTAGCGAGCAGAATAGCGGAGCCAAATGCTGCTCGGTGGCATCCGGCTATTCACTCACTGCCGTTCGGCTCCTATAAGAATAGGGGCGAATGGCAGTGAGTGAACTGCCAGAGGTTTGGCTCAGCCGATCCAGATGCTGGATCAACTGAGTCGAACGGCTTCTTCACTTCAGCTCAGCAGAATATGCTGAGCATGTTCGGCTGACCAAAGCCAGCCGATGTACGGCTGATTTTTGCCAATGTATGGCTGGAATCAGCCGTACTGAGCCGAAGTGAATAGCCAACACCGTTCAGGTCAGTTCACTTCGGCTGGGTTATACTCTCGGCTGCATTCGGCCTTAGTTTATTTTCATCTGTTATGAACCTGTAATTCCTTCTGCAAACTCCAGATGGCACAATATAGTTAAATATTCAGTAATATACGCACTTTAAATACTTTTGTCTTAGAAAAATTGTAAATGTGGTGAGGCTTTGATATTTGTAAATATATTATTAAACACATAAATATGTATTATAAAAAGAAAGGATCACTCAAATTGTCAATCAAAGCCATTGTAATATGTACAAAGAATGGTTAATGATAATCAACCCTCTCACTAGGATTAAAGAACACTTCCAAAACAAGGTACAGAAAATGGATCCAAGGAGTGCTTGAGAAGGAAATCACAGTATATAATACACTAAGCTCTTGTGCTGGAAAGTCTCTGAATTAGCAATGTTAAGGGCATGAAGCAGCCTACTCCATCTGTCTGGATTTCAGGGTTTTCCACACAGATTTCTATCCATACAGTACAAAAAGGATATACCAGCTTGGTTTGATCAATTGTTCTAATAGGAGCATGGGAAAAAATGGGTACCATTTAATAAAGGAGGTGGAACATCTTCAGTTGAGTAAAACTTTTCTGACTGAATGTTGGCCGGTGATCATACAAAGGCCTTCTCAGGCAGTTGCCATCTCACATCTATAGTAGGAATGCACCAATACCAAGTACAGTACTCGGTACAAGTACAAGTACAGATACTTTTCCAGCTCCAAGAAATTCAAAAGTTAGGAAGCCGCTTCTTTGGGGCGTATTTGCTACGCGTATCCTGACGGATAGTAGTATAGCCCTCGGAAACGCGCGTTACTTTTACCGCAAATCGCGGTAAAAACGTGTGGCAGACGCGCATATTCCGTACGCCCAGGTGTGAACCCAGCCTAATGATTTCAGGACAGTGGTGAGGCGCCAGAGCCAGGTCCCAGCTGCAACTGCTGCAACCCTGGTAGTTCTCATGAAAGTGCCAAATATCGGCACTGGTATCTGAACTGGTATCTGGACATCCCTATAGTAGGGGCCCATTCACACCATATGCTAATCGTACAGCATCTGCTGATTGGTGCCCCGTCACAGTGCCGAAGTGCTGATCCCAGCACATCGCATTGTGTACTTTTTTTTGTTTGAACTTTATTGAAATTCAGTTCTTTGGGCACAGCGGGGTGTGAGGCAGTTACACTGCGTCGAATTCCGCTGTGTTGAAAAAAGTAAGCCATGCTTAAAGGAGACCTATGGGGCTAGGGCTTTTCCCCATAGTTCTTCTAAGGGTAACGGGAGGACACAAACTAGTGTCCTCCCGTCACCCAAAGCTCAGTATACCGCGAGCTACAGCACACGGTATACTGAGATGCCGCAGCCGGAACAGATCCCGACAAGTCTGTCTGGATCCACACAGCTGCGTGAGTGACAGCTGGCTCTGCCCATCTAGAGGCAGAGGCAGAGCCAGCTGTACCCCGCCCTCTCCCCGTCCGTTCCGCCTGTGACCGATGGATGATCGAACAGGGGAGGGGGAATCCCTGCAGGGAGCTGTGAGTGACAGTCATGGCTCTCTTCAGGGACATGATCGAGAAGTGAGCGAGCGCCGGTATGTGTTCGCTCACTTCCCGTTCTACTGAGCTCGGCTCAGATTATGAGGCTGAGTGAAAATCACTCGCCTCATAATTCTCCTTTAACTTTTTTTTCAGTGCACACCAGTGCGTTCCTACCGTAACACGGTGATGTGAATGTGCACCATCCATGATAATGCAAATTGCCTTGTCTTGCATCGGGGCTGCACTAAGAACAACGGCCAGTGCAGCTCCAAAGCAGATGGTGTGAATAGACTCTAACTTGAATTGTCAATATGTTTTCACAGCAACAAATAAGACACAGACCAGACCTTAAAAGTTTAATTAGTAACTCATCAGCTGGAAGCAGGCGACTTTTCACAGATTAGGTTATTATTATCACTACATCATATCTACCAGCTTCAGCGATTTACTTACCTCCTGCGAGTTAGGATTTGAGTTCCTCTGATAATTTGTTTGCGATTTATAATCCACGGATCCAGGCTGAGAGTTCTCAGGGCAACACTGTGAACTGAACAGGAACTGTGAATCTGTCAGGCTGGAATGGTCACTGGAAGCACCATTTCGATTTGAAGACTTATAAGCTCTGCAATAACATTTGTATGCCTTACTATGAAGCATTAGTCAGACATTGTCAACAAAAACATTAAGTTGTCAGAATATATAATGATTTAAGATGGTGCAGAAGCAACGATGCTTGGCTTAGGTCAGTGAGATCTGTTAAAAAAAATCATCCTGGTTTGTATAAAATATTACACTGTGAATATTTCACCTACAAGGTGCACAGGGCCAGAAATGACATTAAAAAGCAATAGCCAAGCAGAAAATGTTCGCTATGCTCTTTGAAAATGATATGTACTCGCCTAAAGAAAATAGCATGGCATCGTCACAAATAATCCTTGGCATTCAGCTTCCTTTAAAAATGAGCACAACACATTTCACAGTTTTGCATTCTTCCGGCACTGACTTCTTTTGCAATTCCAGTTTGTGGTCACAACACAATTCATGGCAGCAAAGGAGGTCAATAATGGAAGACTATCTTAGCCAGGCACTGTGACTTCAGGTCTGAACAGGTAGCAGATAGCTGTCACTGACTGCGTGACCTGCTATCATCGAGGTCTTAATGAGGGTTTATCTCCACTCAGGACCACCATCCCAACATATATTATTCATAATGGCCCAGGGGGAAAATGCCTCCCCGTCCAGTCCTCCACTTATCAGCCACGTGTGGTAATACCTTTAGTTGACTAAACAATCAAAAGCAAATATTGCACAGCAATAGAAATACTCCATGCACTATGCAACTTCAGCCCAATGCATGGGTAGCCAAACTCCAGCCATCCAGCTGTGGTGAAACTACAAATCCCATGAGGCATCTCTCTCCAGAAATCATGTCTGTGGCTGTGAGAATCTTGCAATGCCTCGTGGGATTTGTAGTTCCACCACAGCTGGAGGGCCGGAGTTTGGCTATCCCTGGCCTAATGGGTGGGAAAATCTGCAGTGAGCACAGAAATGCTGAAACCCTGGAACATGGATGAAGTTAAATATTAGGGATTAGGGTTACAGGTCAGGGACATGAATGCACACACTGCACCAAATGCTGACACCCGATTCCTGGAAAAGTCCTTTTCTTATCAAAATGCTTTCGCTGACTTACCCATAATCTTTGTCTATATACCTTCCGGCCTATGCTTAAAAACTGACAACCTAAAATCCTTTATTTTAATATTTTTTCTGCGAATTAAACTCTGTGCAGTAGCTGCTAATAAATACATTACATTTTAAATACGGAAAACCCCTCACCCGGCTCCTGGGGGAATGCTGAACATGTCTTTGATGTTCCAAACATTGAGATTCATTTTAAAGCCTGCAGTAAAAAACAAAAAAACAAAGCAAAACTATAAATATATAAATGATGTTTCATACATCTATTAGTAAAATATATGGAACTGAGAAGCATAGGATATTCTATACTATGAACTATATGTATGAATTATTATACTTACATTAGCTAATTGAAACAACAACAAATTCTTGTATTCGGATTTTGGGTAACGCTGGATCTAGATGTGGAGATCTGCTTTGGAGACCTGTGGCGTATTAGGTTGAAATATTAGGTTCAGTCTTGTCTGTCTGACCCTTTAGAAGGTACTGCAAGTAAATGTATGTAAGTTGAAAGCACCAGAAAAGAGTCAAGAGGCATATGTCCATTGAGAATCCCCAAACTAAACACAAAGGAAAAATACAAAGTAGTTTTGGGGTCTACAGGGAGCCCCTTCTTCAAGGCTAAAACAATTACAAGTATCACTAGATATATAGGTAACAACTGAACCAGAATTCATATGACAAAGACGGTCTACAAGGGAGTCATCAAGCTCATAGTCGGCATATAGACATGATGATGACCTCAACATGTAAATTTGTATAGTCCAAATAATATGTAGGGACTAACTTTTAAAATACAACCTACTTACAGATTACTTAAAATGGCTTTCACCTTAAAGCAGAAGTAAGATACGCTGACCCCCACCAAAAAAGCTCAAACCCCCATTGACTTCTTTCAGCTAATGCTTGCTAAAAGACTCCATAGAGCTACATCTGTCCCATTATTTCCTTTTTCTTCCCTCACTCTGAAGTAGACTTGTGCGCCGTCAAAAAATTAGTTCCGTTCCGTTCCGTTTCAGAATATCCGTTATTTCGTAATTCGTGTCCGAAACTCAATTCGGATTCGTACGAAATACGAATTTTCGTTACTTTCGGCACATTTCCGTAACTGTATGAACATTCGTTATGATTAGGGATGCACAGATACTTTTCGAGTACCAGTGCCGATACTTGGCATTTTCATGAGAACTACCAGGGTGGCAGAGGTTGCAGCTGGGACCTGGCTCTGGCACTCCACCACTGTCCTGAAATCATTAGTCTGCATTGTTTTAGAAAAACTGTCACATGACAATAAACAAAAATGTATCAGTACTCGTACTTGTAAGTACTCGGCAAGTACCAGTACTCCTACTCGCAAAACTGGTATCTGTGCATCCCTTTATTTATATTTATAAAAACAAAATCGTACATTATAACAGAGATGTACAAATCCCAGCAGTCCTTACAAATGACAGCTGCCTCCTAATTTTTGAATTTTTCTCTAGTCTAGTCTTGGAGCTCAAAAGTATCGGTACATGTACTCGTACCGAGTACTGTACTTGGTATCTGTGCAACCCTAGTTATGATGAAGTTAAAAAGCAAAAATACCTTTGTTAATATTGGAGTCGATGTGGTAGTTGTTTTTTTATCCGAAATACGAATTCCGTTAATGGATTCCGGATCCGAATTTCGTATTAAAAAAAACTACCATCAACTCCAATATAAATGTACTTTGCTTTTTAACTTTAATATAACGAATGTTCGTAACGGTACGAAATTCCGTCAACGGAATTTCGTATTTCCTGCCTGTGTATTGTACTGCAACCCTTAGCAGCAGCGGATCCGTATTTCGGATTTTTAAAAAAATCTTGTCATGTTGTTCAACCTCATTTACAGGGGTAATATTAGTTCCTGTTTCAAAGAAATTCGGATCCGAAATTCGTTAACGGAATTTCGTATTTCGGATATAATTCGGAAACTGCAATTCGGATTTCGGATGCTTCCGAATTTACGAATTTCAGGAAAATTCGTACGAATTTTCGATTCGTAACGAAACGAATCGCTTGTGTCTACTCTGAAGAAGCCAGTGCCATCTTTGCTGCATTCCGGCATAACTTCCTCCTCTCCTTTCTTACACCTGGATGTTGATAAGCATACAACAATGACAGATGAGTCCCTTTCCAGTAAATTGCGAAATTAGAACATACCTGTTAGATATTTTGATGATGTTGGCAGTGTGCAATCTCTGTAGGGGGAAATGAAGGATAACTTAATGGAGGTCAGGGTGGTTAGAAAAAAGGAAGGGGGGACAACTGTGGTGACAGAAGACAGGCGGCTCTGAAGGTACAAGGATAAGGGGCAACAGATATATAAATTATATATAAGGATTAAAAGCTTTTTTGAACCATCTGTGTTGTAAACTGGCATAGGATGGTTATTATTAAAGAAGAACCCCAGGTTTTAGAAAAATAAAACCTTGCAGTGGGTCTACCTCCACCCTGTTCGGGTCAACTGCTCGTTTTTCTCTATGGGGCTCAGATAAAAAAGAAATACTCACCCGATTCTTGACCCTGCCTGGCTGCTAGAACAGTCCCTGCAGCCCCTTCTCCCCCAGCCTCTGGCGGTCTAAGCCCAGCTGACAATAACAAGTCTAAAGTTAAATTTACACCTACCATGTACGTGCAATTTGGTATTCCAAAATCCTCCATTTGTGATCGCCAGCTGTCACCCGTAATGATCAGGTGACAGTTGCTGCATTTGAACGCTGGCACACGCATGTAATCATATGTGATACGATTATATGCACTTATGAATGGATCGATATTCCTGGATGCATCGATCGTGCCTGGTGTGTCATCGTTCTGCCGCTTTCAAATGCAGCCGTTGTCACCCGATCATTAACTTGAACGGGTGACAGCTGCTGCTTGTAAATGGAAGATTTGGAATTCCTGCTGCAGGAATTCCAAATCGCACCTACTTGGTAGGTGTGAATAAGGGTTAAGTCCCCCATGCTGACAATCAATGTGAAGACATGGTCCGCTATTGTCACTTTCTGGAAGACTGTCTGAAAAAAATGGCTGCAGGATTTCAGCTGCACTGACAAAGGATCAAAAGAAAACAGAAGATTTGGAGTTCCTGCTGCAGGAAATCGCACGTTCTTGGCGCAGGTGTGAATGAAGCCTAATATGGACCATTCACCTGTATTAGACGTGAGGATGCCATAGCTGGAGCGGAGGGGGGAGAAGTAAGGGGTCACTGCCGCAGGACTGAGGATCAGCTAAGTCTTCTGTATTTTAAAAAAAAACAGCAGTTAACCCTTGCAGATTCTAAAACATGAAGTTCTTCGTTAAACCGGCTCTGTCACCATAAGTATAAAAAAGGTCCCTGCAAAAAGGAGGAATAATACTTACCTCTCCGGAGGACAGTGACTCCTGTCTTT